GAAAGCATTTATCTTTTAGAAAAAAAAAAAAAAAAAAAGACCCATTAAAAAGAATCATACAAATAAATTGACGAAGTTAGTTAGTGGGATCATGTTCAAGTGATGTTTGGTCTCTATTAATGCCCAAGATGTCAAAAAACCCTATAAATTTATTGGCATGCATGACAAAAAAGAAAATCAATCTTAGTATTGTTTTAGGTATACTCGACAAGGCAGAGATTGTTGTGATATTATCTCAACAAAGAGTAATCATTAAGACAAGTGCTCCATAGATAAAGAACTTACTTGTACTAATGGTTAACACACTTTATTTGATCATTTTGTTTATAATCAAGGGATTTTTTTTGTTTTTTATTTTCATTCAACATATTATCTTTGACTCAATAATTAAATTATCTAACCTTCAATTTGACTGACTATCAAGGCTTTGATGTTTATGTCATATTATAAATATTTCTTCTTTTGTTGAGTTCATATAAGGGTGTAAGTCAGGTGTAAGAATGTATAAATAGTGTAATTCATAAAATTCAAGAGAGGCTACTCTTTAGTATTGGCAAATACTAACATATGACTTATTTTCTCAAATAAGTAATGAGATTGAGTATGACTAAGATTTTTGTTTTTAATATGCTTGATTCTATCCTTAGTCTCTCCCAATTTTATAAAGAAAATTTTCATAAAGTTGGCTAGAAAGTCAAACTAGGTTAACTTTTGTCTTTCTTTTCTTTTTATATATATTGGTTGTCTAACTATCATTTTCTTCCTTATAATCACCTAGTAATTTAACTAGAACAATTTATCTCAAAATTTGTTATCAAAAGCAATAAATTAGTATTAAGTTAGGGATGGGCACGAAGTAGGTAGGAAACGAGTTTATATATTCTCATACCCACACATGCTAAGTGTAGGTGGATGTATTTTTCTATCTGCTATCCACTCTAGTTACTCATTTCTTTATCATTCACTCTCCACCTACTCTGTGCATGATTATTTACTTATTTTATCCTAAAAAATCTTATAAATATTTAAATAATTAATTAAAATTCAATTAGAAATATTAAATGTTATACAATATAAAACATAATTTAAAATAATATTCTAATATAATTAAAAAAACAACCAAGAATATAAAATAACATCATAAAGTTATAACAATTAAATAATATGTTCAAACTAATTAAAACTAATAATTACATATATTATTACATTAATTTTATACTAAAATAATAAAAAAAACAATTAATAAAATTAAAAATATAATAATTTTATGTTGTAAAAATATTATATCATATACGTAGATAATTAAGTGAAATAAGATGATATAAATATATAATTAAATTCATGTTTATTGTGGGTATGACTTTTTATACACATTTTTCTTGAATGGATTGAGACGGACTACTACTAATATGAATTTTTATTGATATATCATGAATAATTGATTAAAGATTGTTTAAGCTCCCACAATATTAGAACCACATACACCATAACAAAGGCAAAAGGATTTACCAAGTCAAAAGCAACCCAAATTGCCTCCACATCTTCTTGTTTCAGGCAAAAATATATTATGATACCTTTGGCACAAGAACGTTGGCTCTTATGGAATTTTGGGAATTAAAGATGATGAAGTTTATCCACTACTAAGTTCTGGATTCTCTGCCTCTGGCCCTTGCTAATTATTACAAGATCTCTACCTGTCAGTATCTTCTTCTGCCTCCAACCCTTGCTAAGGATCATTGAATTTCATTTTCTAATTTGGCATGTGTATAAAGCAAAACTTAGTAGTCATATTCTAGCTCCTCTAAGCTTAGTCTACCCCCCCTCCTCAATGTTTATTTCTATGCGTTGCTCAAAGAAAAATACCTTTTGTTAAAGCAACTAGTGATTGATAACTTTTTTTAGGAGCTTGAGACTGATAGGTTTCAACAATACTTAAATATAATGTATCTTTTTTCTCCATATATATATATATATATATATATATACACACCCACTAAAATAGATATTAAATTAAATGCATATTTTAGTAAGTATTATATGGGACAAATTCAGCGTATACTAACAATATAAGAAGTGTACGTTTAAAAAATTGTCCAAGAAAGACTTAATTTCAATGTACGAAATTGACTCAAAAATATAGATCATTTAATTTATAAACATTAAATTCTTTAATATGTAATAATTAAGTCTTATATATAATATACAGATTTTTACAATATTAGATAATTTAGGTGGTATTTTTAATTCACAGTTGCAAATATAAATCAAACTGTTTAGATAATTATTAAAATTGAACCTTAATATAAAAACATAAACTACTAAGCTCCATGTTAAAATTTATGATCAAACATTAATAAAAGTAAAAATAATAAGAAGATCAAATTACATTACTAATCTGCTTCAATTAACTTAAACTAATTTACTGATATCCATCCATCCATTTTCATATATTTTATTAAATCAAACTGGAGAAATATCCAATTCACAATCAAAACATAGGATGGAATCAGCTCAATTTTAGTAACTATGGTTATATCTTATGCAATAACTATTTTAAATATGCCAAGTTGTATTCTTCTAGTTATGAACTTTTAATCTGCAGGTGAAGGTGAAGAAATGTTAAAATTATAAACTAACTTTATGTCACTTTCTGGTTAAATGTTACGTGAGGAGTGGAGAGTATATTCCAATGAATAACCCCTTCTCTTTATAATTTATAGAAATAAGATTATTTTTTTAAGAAAGATTTATACATCTTATTAATTACATATTAAATAAGTATTATTTAAATATAATTTTTTTAATAAACACAGAATTTATACTATATTCAAGATGTACAACCCACCATTCAAACTCATATTTTCATATAAAAAGAAAAAGAAACAATAAATAGCTGGTAATTAAAAACAATTTGAGGACATCGTGGCCATATAAGTATGTGTATGTGTGTACTTGATGCATGACAAATCAAATTTCAATTGTGAATTTGTCGTGAACTTGGACAATTCCAATGGCTCTTGGTTCGCCAATGAATCTTCTTTCTACTTGGGCAAGCTGTTTCTCACCCTCCCCAAAATCTAATTTATATATATATATATATATATATATATATAATAAGAGAGAGAATAAGGCTGTTTCTTACCAAAATCGAAGAAAAAGTTAAGAGCCGTATAAAACGTAAATAGAGGAGAATCTTCGGTACTCCTGGTGTCCGGTGAGTGGAAAGTAGGGTATCACCCACATCATTCTACGGTGTCACCTACGCTGTGCTATTCAACAAGTTGAGATGAAATTAAGGATGGAAATCATCAGATTTTACTTTTATAAGAAGGTTACTATGTTGGTGATAATCACTACTTTACCCAATTTTATTTTTTCGTGGAGTACTAGACACTCTATTTTCTTTTTAATTTCCTCCCAATGTTTTAACAAAGATATAAATAGACATGTCCCGAGAGAGTAAATGCCTACAAAATTTATTTATATATAGAATTTTGGTATGTAATCTGTATTCTTTGCTTTTGTTTTTTCTTTTTTTTTTTTTTTTGTCTAACTAAAAGTTTTTCTCGTTTGACATAATTATTACGTGTTGTTGACGAGTAATTAACGAATTTGCTAGTTTTAATTTTCTGTGTAATAAAAATGATAGAAAGAGTTACTATCACGATCATGGTAACTTTTATTTTCTAAAGAAAAGAATTCGAATTTGGGTTAGATGAAGAGAAGTGGCTATCCAAAGAATTGAAGTTTGACCACCAACATCCAATATTAATATATACAAATTTGTGAATCATACATAAGTTGTATACTCTTGTTAATGTTGATGACAGGGATAGGATGAGAAATTTGGTCTCACGGTTTCCACCAAGGATGGCGTTGCTTAACGGGCATCAACCAGTGTCAGGTTGGTGTGTTTAGATGATTTGGTAAGGCATCAACAACTTTATGCCTGGATTCCATTGACGAACTAACTTGTCTGCTGCCTACATTTGTTTTTACTTTCAGATTCTCGTCACAGGAATAACTTTGCCCTATATTACATCAAAAATTGATCTACTAATACACCCTACCTCCAATGCCGATGCATTCAGGTTTGGGTCCGCAGCCATTACTAGTTAAAATTGAAAAAGTCACACACATCTAAAATGGGCTTGGTGCTTAGACAATTTACAGATACTGGCATGTTAAGTTACTGTAAATTTTCTCGATTTTTAGATTTCTTTGATGCATGGTTACAACACTGAAGGTCGTTCTCCAATAATCAAAACATATTCCAAAACTAATAGAAGAAACTAAACAGCAGGATGAATGACTCAAAAGAGTTGCATTAGTTATTTAATGTCCACTAATCAATTCCCAGAAAGTACTCAAGTTTGTCTTGTCAAGTATCAAATTTTGATTTTGTTTTAATTTTCCTCGTACTCCGTCTAGCATCTTTTCGTGGCGTGACTTAATCTCAAATGACTACTCAAGCCCGGTATATAAACTTTCCTTGCTACTTTTGAACATCCAACTTGTCGCCAGTGCAATCCCACAAGGCATGACCAAAATGATAGCCTAAGAGCAGCTTCTTTTGCAATCAAACCAACTTAAATACTTGAATAACATTAAAAAAACAAATAATAAAAAAGGTTATCATTCCCCAAACCAAGGATGTATTCCAAAATATTCCCGATTCATCTGTCCACAATAACAAGATAAAGCCATTTAAAAATAAGAAGTCAGTCACCGTGAAAATATATAGGAAAAAAATGGTAAATTTTCAAAATCAAAATAGTTAATTACATACATCCATAGTTAAATTATATGTTCCACGGGACAATCCTTGTCTACAAAATGAATCACCTCCCAGCCACAGATTGCTAAACCTATTTTAACAGAACTTTGAGGCAATGAGTGATAGATTTCTCTCTAGATTAAATACAGACTCATTAGCTATGCAATGCCCAATCTGGGTATGGGCATTCATAGGTCCATCCGGGTCCAGAATATCTAACACAATGTAGCCAGAGCGCTTCATCACGGCCGTCATATCTGTAAGCAAGATGACCAGTAAAAGAGAATAGTCAGCAAGGAATAATCAGAGAATGATGATTGAAAATGAAAATTGGTTTTAGAAAGACAAATGCAATTTCAAACATCATTTGGAGAATCAACATGCAGTTTATGCTGTGTCCTGTAGTTTTTCTTTTGGGAGCATACTTCCGAATAATCTAGATGGATTTCTTATGGATTTAAAACATCTATACTTGCAGCTCTCAAGAGGCATCAAAGTCCTAACCCTCAGGAACTCCAAAAAAAGAACATTTTTGGCAAGGTAAAGTCTAATGTCTAACCCTGTTGGGATTAAGTGCGCTCTCTCTTCCATAGATATTGGCACTCAAAAGTATATTGTCTTGTTAATTAATTAAAATTTATTTTGTTTCGTACGCGAAAAGACCAGTTGCAATTGTTTGCAGTTGCCTATTTTGCTGTCTCGCCATGATGTTATCAAGGGAAAAAGTGAAGAGTTACAATCTACCAGAAAATGTCAATTGGCAAAATAACCAACCACATAACATAAGATGCCAATAGTATTATAAACAATATTCTAATGAATAGTTCATGCTCAGAATAAATTATTATCCTTTGAGAAGGATACATTACATTAAATTTGACACGTCAGAATTTGCATTTCTGCAGGCATGCTCCTCTACATTTTCCCTTACCCTTTTGGACCCAAGTTTGGGCAGTTTGTGCACATAGGATCAATGCTGAAATCTTTACTGGAGTACTCATGCCCATCAGAAGAGAATGTTTTAGTATGGCCAGAATTAGCAGCAGCTCTATCAGCACTCATTCTTTCAGTTGATCGATCAGTCACATGGTCAAAGAGATAAAGCATATCATTGGCTATTGGATGGCCAGTGTACTGCAAATGAACACGTATCTAGAGGACAGAAGGGGAGAGAGAGAGAGAGAGTTTAAAATAATTATTTTATAGCTTGTCCAACTAGCAGAAAATCAGATGAGTAAACATAAAAATTAGTATGTCTTACACCTTCAAGGTTCAGACTTAAACCCAAGTACCACACTAGTCGCTATTAAACTTGGTAGGTAGGAGGAACATCTCAACAATTAGAAAATAAATGAAAGAAAAGATGGATTCTGCGTCAAAAATGGGAAAAAAGAAAAGAAAACAATAACCAAAACCATAAACTTCTCTACTATCAGAAAATAAATCTTAAAAGAGAAGGAAGCCCAAATCAAGAGGCTTAAAATGCTAGTCAAGAATGAGTAAGAAAGCAATCAAACATCGAAACACAAGAAACTTCTCAACTATCCAAAAGTAAAAAGTATAAGAGATAACCAAGCCCAGAACAAGGCATTTAGAAGCTGCTATGTTTTTTTAGGAAATAGAAAATGTAAGTTGCAGGAATTTTTCCTAATCTCAAGAAAAAATTTACCTCCATAACATACACAAACACACAGGAAAAAAAAAGTATAGTGGTATATGTTTATGTGTACTTGAGGATAAAAAAAGCCAGTTTTCCAAAAAATATTTAAAACAATTATTTTAGTACTTTACATTCTCATCATTACTTTTAAGTGCATCTTTTATATATAAATGCATGAATTTTGGAAATAAAAAGTAGAAAAAGAAATCATGACTATTTTCTTTATCTAAAAAAAAAAATCATAATTATTCTCTAGAAACAAATAAAAACATGCTCAGCTTGACAAAAAAAAAAATTGAATGGGGTCGGTTTTGAGAAAATAACCCTTCTTTCCTATTTTGTTTTCTCCGGAAATGAAAATGGCAGAAAAAACATGTCTGCCAGTTGAAAATTAAAAGAGTTCTAGAAAACTAACAAGAAAATGAGCTCTAATTTTTCTGCACTTGTAGCTATTAGAGAATAGGAATATTTCCCATATAGTTCAAAAGAAAATAGGGTAGGGTATTTCCGATATAGACTTTTCCTACATAGTTAATATCCTATACAGCTACGCTCTATTATAGTTAACATCTTATTTATTTAGATTCTATTTCTAGTTTTTTTCCCTTATTCATAGATTCTCTGTAAATATACATACTGCTACAACATTATTAAAAAAAAAGAACTATATATCAGTTTATTTCTTGGAATGGTATAAAAGCGAAGTTTATAGAACTTAGTAAACCTACTTGCTTTGGTTTCCGATCACAAAGTAGCCACTCCTAGTCAAAAGGAATACAATATATATATATATATATCATTTGAATTCCCTTCATAAAAAATCCAATTCCCTTTCAGATTTGTTGCTGCATTTTTTATTAGAAAAGGAAAAATCAGCTCTTTTGTTTCAGTGTACTTCTATCCAATTCCCTTTCAGATTTGTTGCTGCATTTTTTATTAGAAAAAGAAAAATCAGCTCTTTTGTTTCAGTGTACTTCTACTTTAGTAAAAATTTTGTAAAAAAAAACAATGTTATTTTTTCTTTTTATTCTTTTGCCCTAGTGCTCTGGTTCTTTTCTGGGTGAGTGGATTCCTTCGTAAGTATAGTATACATGAAAGTAAAAGCACCAAAGACAATAAGCTCTCTTGTTTCTCTCTTTTCATTTGACCCAGAAAATGACATGGAGGATGAGCTGGAAACTTTCCTCCTCAACTTGGACAGTTGAAGCCATTCCAAGCCCATAATCCATCCTTAATAGAGTAGTGAAAACCAGCTGAGGTTCGAAGCTGGAGAACGAAATCCCAAGACCTTCTAGCTTCATGACAACAAAGAAGAATATGGTTAGAGTATTTACTCTCCTTGGGGCACAAAAAACAACTGCCAACCATTATTCTTTCTCTAGTCATGAGATTATCAATCCTTAAAATCCTACCCCAAGCTACCTTTCAGCTAAAAAAAGCAATTCCCAAGACCACTTACTCCATAATTTGTTTCCACCAAAAGTAGTCAAAAATCTTGTCTTCAAACAAATGATTGTCATAGGACCTTAAAGAAAAGCTTCCATGCTTAGAAAGCCTCAAACAAGAGTACCGTTTGAACCGGCTAAATAAAGATATGTTCCATCTGAGCCAAAAAAGAAATTCAGTTGCTAACCTTGCAATCATTACGATTTCAAAGGAGAGGGATGCTGGAATTGATTCCACCATAGTACCCCTCAAAACAATCCACAAGCTTTGCCTCCTTAAACTTGGCAAAATAGTAAATAAAGGAAAGGCCTCTTTCAAAGGCCTATCATCACACCAGAGATCAGCCCAGAATCTAAGCTAGCCCCCTTCCCTACTTGAAATAACTATGATTGCCCAGATCACCAGTTCCTCTGATATTTCCAAGGGTTAGAGCCATAAACATACTCTACCTGAGCGTGAACACCACCCATCTGACGACAAACTAAACATGGCCCTAAAGCTCCACCATAAATATTCTTTCCAAGAGAAGAACTGTGATTTCCATTTGAGCAGTAGAGCTTGATTGTAACCCTGCAAGGACATTATACCTAGGCCCCCATCCTTCAAAGGACACTTCACATGATTCCAAGCCGGTAAATGGTACTTCTTGTGCTAACCCAAATGGTCCCATTAGAAATCGACATTAGATACCCTTAATACAGTTGAGAACTTTCCATGGAATAGAAATAAGGGAGAGGAAGTAAGTTGGGGGGATTTTGATCAGGCACTTTGAGGAAGAGTAAATTTTCTCCTTTTTTTGATAAATATCTCTACTTCCAACCAGATATATGTTTTTCTATCTTAGGCATAAGAGAGATCTCTTGGTGCCTTAGAGGCAGACTAAGGTACTTCTTGATGGGAAAACTACCAATCTTGCATTCTAGAATCTGAGCATACTCATAAAAATCAACTTCTCTTCTGAGATAAAAAGTAAATATTTATATTCATCAACATTAAAGAGATCCAGCTCGTATATGATATTTACATATCAATCAAAATGTCTATAAGGTCCCTAATATCCATACTAGAATACAGCGGATGACCCTTTAACAAAAAGACTTAAGGTATGAAACCACGTGTTCTTGAGATTGTCAAAATTAGATTCAGTGCTCCTGAATGTCCTTCTATTCCACTCTTTTGCAAATCACTCAAAAGATAGCCAACTGGATGAGTCTCAATCCCTTATCCCCGTGAATACCACTCCAAGCACATAGCCCCTCTTCACAAATCCAGAAACGACCCAACCTGATGCAGAATGTGTTATGTCTAAATAGATTACAAGTTTTTTAAAAGAATAAAAAATATGGTATGTATCATTAATTATGAGCACCAAGGGGATACCAACACAGATAAAATTATTTACATGTTAATTAGGATATCAGTAAGGTCCTTAAAATCTTTCATAAAATATAGAGGATGACCTACAACCAAAAAACTCAGAATCTGGAATCATTTATCTCTAAACCCTGTCAATCATCTTTCATCCCCTCAAATGCTCTTTTGCTTCTCTCTTCCCACACCATCAACATGAATGAGTCTCACATGTTTCTTCCCCTAACTAATACCCTTCCAAACCCAAATCTGATTCGTTACTTACCAACCATTACCCAACTTATCCCCAGAAACTTATGTCATGTTCCATAACTTGTACGCAAGTGAGCACCAAAGCAACCTATGGTTACAAGATTCATCCGCCCTCCTGCAGAGAAAGGAGTCATCTACCATGATCTTTGCCCTTCTCATTGACTTGTCAATAGTAAGCATACATCCAAGTGCTGCTTCCCAATAAAGAAAGCAACTCTTTAAGGAGCATTCACCTTCTAAATTTGCCAAAAAGGAAAATTAGTCTCTACATAATCATTCTTAACTAAGTAGTTATAGAAAGACTAAACCATGAATATTCCTACTAAGTTAAGGCTCCAAACTGGTTGGTTAGTACTCTAATTCAGAAATACATAAGATAATGAGCTCAGAAGAGAATACTCATTTATTTCTTAGTCATTAAGGTTTCTCATCACCTCCACATGTCGTTCTCTTTCCCATCCAATGTCTCTGAATGACTCATGGACTGAAAGATCCTTGTACAGTGCAATAACAAAAATCTATAGAAACCTACCTCTAAGCACTCCTCCTCCAAGCCAAGAGTCCATCCAAAAGCTGATTCTCTGCCCATTATGGCTCTCCATCTAAGGCGTTCTTGAAATTTACCGCTTCCCATGCATATTTTTTTCCTACACCCCTCCCTATGTTGTCTTGGTAATAGTCTAGAATATCATCCTCTATCCACAATACTGAACTTCGTGATGAGGAACCCAGGAACAACAATTCAATCCAAAATTTATACAATTTTAATCAGCACGAAAGACTTATTTTTTAAATAAACCCTTCCTACTTAACCTGCTATCAATAAATGGTAAAAACTAAGATAATTAGAAAAATTAAGTAATTAATAGAACACCACAAGAGTCACCTTGATAAGTTGAATCAATTCCCTCTCAACGAAAATGATGAAGAATATCTCACTCGTTGAAAGTTAAAACTTTATAATTTTTATTGATAAAAAATTTAATAATTACAACCACAAATTAAATACCTATTTATAATTGTAAACCATGTAAAATACAAGAAAATAAATCCTCTAATCTAATTGTAACAAATTACACAGGAAAGCAAATCTTAATTAAGATAAGAAATAATTTACATTAGGAAAGATTCAGGCCAAAATAATGTAGATATGTCATCCCCTTGAGGAAACCGCTTGAGTGGTGAAGACCTCTCTTTAATTAATAAGAATCTTGAGTCGAGAAAAAGGAAAATTAAGGCCGAATTTATGAGGTAAAGAAAGACACCAAGATCTCTTCCAAATCCTTCCTTAAATCTGTGAAAATCTTGTGTTGAATACTTGAGATTTTAATAAGATCCCAGTCAGAACAGAGATAAATTAGTAATTTTTTCTTAAAGTGAAAAATACCCTTGATTTTATTACTAACAAATCATACTTACATTC